TAAGTGTTGGCATAATACCATGGGTCCAGCCCATGATGGAAAAACATTCTTTCGGTGGTCAAAAGAGAAACCAACACAATGATGAAGCCAACATGATATGATGATGTCTTTAGCTAATGATGGTGTCTTTAGCCAATGATGGTGTCTCAAGCAAATGATGCTGCCATCCGTTGGAAGAAAAATCTAAAAGCTTCCAAACTTTTCCTTTCTCAAATATAAAAGGACATGCAAGTGTGCATGCGGAAGAAAGTGGTGTGTGTGTTGTGTTGAAGAGTCAGAGAGAGTTGGAGAAGCCGAGAGCAAGAGAGAGAAGTGAGAGAACACCATCCAAACAGCCATCAGTATTCCACTCCAATTCTGTGAGAGTGAGAGAGTTAATTGTGTACCACTCCAAGTGTGTGAGTGAGGTAAAACAGGAGAGTATAGTGTGGTGTCATTGTACTTTCTCTGTGTGTATCATCAAGCCCTGGGCATTGGCTTGGTAAGACCTTTCTTATTGTACCCATTATTTTGTTATAGTGGAAGAAATTTATATTGCTGCCCCGTGGACGTAGGCATTGCCGAACCACGTTAATTCCCGGTGTTCTTTATTTTTCTGCTTATACTGTTATTTGAGTTGTGGCGATTTCTATTCTAGCACTATCCGATCCTAACAGACACTTCTTGTAGATTGTATCCCATTTGTTGAGCGACGTCTGCTGCAGTCTTTTCTCGCCGCAGCTGATAGTGTTCTTGGCTTGGGAGAGCTTGCCTGTCCAAATTGTGAGGGCCAATTGCTGAGGCTTTCATTAGCACTGATTTGCTGGTGCTTGTCTATACTACCAGGATGAAGATATCTCTCTGATTCCTCAGAATGTTTGGAAGAATATTGAGACTGGCATTGTCAAAGCCTGGTATCCACTTTTTATATTTCTCTAATTTTATTGAATTATTCTGGAGATATTGGAAGTGAATGTTTTGTCTTTCCTTTTCTAGATGGAAGGTCTTTGAATACAAATTGTTTCTATTCAAAATAAAAAATAAAAAATTGTTGTCATAGCATAATATGTCAAAGATATTGGAGTATATGCCAAACATTTTCCTTGGAACTGGTTTTCTTTCTTTTTAATTGTTTTAATCAGCAATTTTAAATTATATTACTGATGCACTAATATATTTAGGTCCTATGCGTCCTGCATCAATTACTTATTAATTGAACCACATTTTACATGTAAGGTCCTGAGAGAAGTGCTAACTTCAAGCTCTTCAAAACAATCTGACCCAGATTGTGAAAGTACTCGTGAATCCGTTCTTCGGGTGAGGAACATTTTAGAGATGATGTGGTAAATTTTAATTTGATTACAGAGAGTGATTTTTTTTGATGTTTTTGTAATTTTGTTTGCATTGAAAAATCTTTGCTTGATCACGCCATCCAAAAAATTTAAGGTAGAGGAAGTAAGTTCAATCATGTATAATTTTATACCAAGATGAACACCACACATTTACAATCCTCTGGGGTAAA